CCCCCAATCCCATAAATCCCATAAATCCCATAAACCCCATAAATCCCATACTCAGATTCCAATCGGACAGGGTGTCATCGTCGTCCTCGTCGTTGCCGTCACCCCATAAATCCCCCATAAACCCCATAAACCCCATAAATCCAATCCCATACTCAGGTTCCAATCGGACAGGGTGTCACTGTCACCCCCAATCCCATAAATCCCCCATAAATCCCATACTGAGGTTCCAGTCGGACAGGGTATCACTGTCACCCCATAAACCCCATAAATCCCATAAATCCCCCATAAATCCCATAAATCCCATAAATCCCATACTCAGATTCCAATCCGACAGGGTGTCACTGTCACCCCATAAACCCCATAAATCCCATAAACCCCATACTGAGGTTCCAATCCGACAGGGTGTCATCGTCGTCCTCGTCGTCCCCGTCACCCCATAAACCCCACAAATCCCATAAACCCCACAAACCCCATAAATCCCATAAATCCCATACTCAGGTTCCAATCGGACAGGGTGTCATCGTCGTCCTCGTCGTCGCCGTCCCCATCGCCGTCCCCTCCGCGCTGCTCCTCGTGTCCCAGCGTCACCGTGCGCGATTTGTGGAACCGCGGTTTGATGTCCTGGTCACTGTCGGGGACAGCCTCGTCCTCCTCCACGTCACCCTGGGGTGGCACCAGGGGACAGCGTCACAGCGGGTGGGGACATTAATATCGTGACATGGTGTCAATATCGGGACATTGTGATAACGGGACATTGTCATAACGGGATGGGACAGTGTCATATCGTGACATGGTGTCAATATCGTGACATTGTCATAGCGGGTGGGGACATTATCGTGACATGGTGTCAATATCGTGACATTGTCATATCGNTATCGTGACATTGTCATATCGGGACATGGTGTCAATATCGTGACATTGTCATATCGGGACATTGTCATATCAGGACAGTGTCATAGCGGGAGGGGACATTATCGTGACATGGTGTCAATATCGTGACATTGTCATATCGGGACAGCGTCATAGCGGGAGGGGACATTATCGTGACATGGTGTCAATATCGGGACATTGTCATAGCGGGACATGGCATCCATATCGTGACATTGTCATAACGGGAGGGGACATTATCGTGACATAGTGTCAATATCGTGACATTGTCATATCAGGACAGCGTCATAGCGGGAGGGGACATTATCGTGACATGGTGTCAATATCGTGACATTGTGATAACGGGAGGGGACAGCGTCACAGCAGGAGGGGACATTATCGTGACATGGTGTCAATATCGTGACAGTGTCATATTGCGACATTGTCATATCGGGACATTGTCATAGCGGGAGGGGACAGTGTCACAGCGGGTGGGGACATTATCGTGACATTGTCATATCAAGACAGTGTCACAGCAGGTGGGGACAGTGTGTCGTGACATGGTGTCAATATCATGACATTGTCATAACAGGAGGGGACATTATCGTGACATGGTGTCAATATCATGACAGTGTCATATCGTGACATTGTCATATCGTGACATGGTGTCAATATCGTGACAGTGTCATATCAGGACATTGTCATAGCGGGAGGGGACATTATCGTGACATGGCATCGATATTGTGACATTGCCATATCACAACATTGTCATATCGGGACATGGTGTCAATATCGTGACATTGTCATATCAGGACATTGCCATAACGGGAGGGGACAGTGTGTCATGACATTGTCATATCGTGACATTGTCATATCGGGAGGGGACAGAGTCACAGTGGGAGGGGACAGCGTGTCGTGACATGGCGTCAATATCGTGACATGGCGTCAATATCGTGACATTGTCATATCAGGACAGTGTCATAGTGGGAGGGGACATTATCGTGACATGGCATCGATATCGTGACATTGCCACATCGCAACATTGTCATATCGTGACATGGCGTCAATATCGTGACATTGTGATAACGGGAGGGGACAATGTCAGATCGGGAGGGGACAGTGTGTCGGGACATGGTGTCAATATCGTGACATTGCCATATCACGACATTGTCATATCGTGACATGGTGTCAATATCGTGACATTGTGATAACGGGATGGGACATCATGTCGGGACATGGCATCAATACTGTGACATTGTGATAACGGGATGGGACATCGTATCGTGACATCATTATATCGGAATAGGACATTGTCAAATTGGGACATGACATCATATTGTGACATTGTCATAGTGGGATAGGACATCGTATTGGGACATTGTCATAACGGGATGGGACATCATATCATGACATCATCGTATCGGGATATAACATTGTCATATCGGGAGGGGACATTGTCACAGTGGGAGGGAACATGGTACTGTGACACAGCATCAATATCGTGACATTGTCATATCAGGATGGGACATTGTGTCGTGACATCATTATATCGAGATGGGACATTGTCATATCGGGACATGGTGTCAATATCGTGACATCGTCATATCGGGATGGGACATCATATTGTGACATTGTCATATTAGGATGTGACATTGTCATATCGGGAGCGGACAATGTCATAACGGGATGGGACATTATCATATCGGGACATGGTGTCAATATCGTGACATTGTGATAACGGGGTGGGACATCGTATCGTGACATCATCGTATCGGGATGTGACAGTGTCGTATCGGGAGGGGACAGCGTCACAGCGGGAGGGGACAGTGTCATATCGTGACATGGCGTCAATATCGTGACATGGCGTCAATATCGTGACATTGTCATATCGTGACATTGTCATATCGGGACATGGTGTCAATATCGTGACATTGTGATAACGGGATGGGACATCGTATCGTGACACTGTCACATTGGGATGGGACATTGTCATTTCGTGACATTGTCATATCGGGACATGGTGTCAATATCGTGACATTGTCATATCGTGACATTGTCATAACGGGAGGGGACAGCGTGTTGGGACATTGTCACATCGTGACATTGTCACATCGGGACATGGTGTCAATATTGTGACATTGTCATATCGTGACATTGTCATAGTGGGAGGGGACAGCGTGTTGGGACATTGTCACATCGTGACATTGTCATATCAGGACAGTGTCATATCGTGACATTGTCATATCATGACATTGTCATATCGGGAGGGGACAGCGCGTCAGGACATTGTCATATCAGGAGGGGACAGTGTCAGATCGAGAGGGGACAGTGTCATAACGGGAGGGGACATTATCGTATCGTGACATTGTCATATCGTGACGTGACATCATCATATCGTGATGGGACATCACGTCGGGATGGGACATTGTATTGCGACATTGTCATGACAGGATGGGACATCGATATCATGACATCATCGTATCGGGATATGACATCATTGTATCGGGATATGACATCATCGTGTCGGGATATGACATCATCCTATCGGGATATGACATCATTGTATCGGGACATGACATCATTGTATTGGGATATGACATCATCATATCAGGATATGACATTGTATCAGGACATGACATCATCGTATCAGGATATGACATCATCGTATCGGGATATGACATTGTCATATCGTGACATTGTATTGGGATGTGACAGTGTCATATCAGGATGGGACATTATCATAACGGGATGTGACAGTGTCAGATCGGGATGTGACAGTGTCATAGCGGGAGGGGACAGCGTATCGTGACATGGCATCAATACCGTGACATTGTCATAATGGGATGGGACATCATTGTATCGTGACATGGTGTCAATATCGTGACATTGCCATATCGGGATGAGACAGCATATCGGGACATGGTGTTGATATTGTGACATTGTCATATTGGGATGTGACGTTATATCGTGACATTGTACTGGGATGTGACATTGTCATATCGCGATGGGACAATGTCATATCATGACATGGCATGAATATCATGACGTTGTCACAGCGCGACAGGGCATTGTCATATTGGGCTGTGATCATCATTGTATCAAAGTGTGATGTCATTGTATCGGGATGTGACACGATCGTATCAGGACATGACATCAATATTGTGACATGACATCATCGTATCGGGATGTGACATCATGGCATCATGACATGATCACATTGTGATACGACATTATTGTATCGGGATGTGACACCGTCGTATCGTGACATCGTTATTTTGGGATGTGACATAATCATATTGTGATATGGCATCATCTTATCGTGACATGACATCATTCTATCCCCATATGACATCACCGTATCATGATGTGACATCATATTGTGACATCATCATATAGTGATGTGACATCATCCTATTCCCACACGGCGTCATCATATCGTGACCTTACGTCATCGTATCGTGACACGCCACCATCATATTACAACATGGCATCGATCATATCACAATGTGACATCATCATATCACGACACGACATCATCATATCGTGACATGACATAATTAGGTTGCTAGGTGATGTCATATCGTGACTGACATCATCGTACCGTGACGTGACATCGTTGTATCGTGACACGACCTATCGCGACTGACATCATAATATCGTGACACGATGTCATCGTATCGTGACATGACATCATTGTATCGTGACATTACATCATCGTATCATGGCATGACGTCACCATATCGCGACATGACGTCACCGTACGGTGACATTCCCCCCCGGATCAGACAGTACGAACACGAGTGACCATCACAGGGGTCAGTCCAGGAGTGTCATCATCTCCGTGGGGACATCCCAGGGTCACCAATGTCCCCAAAGTGTCCCCGAAGTGTCATCCCAGTGTCACCAGAGCTCCCCAATGTCCCCAATGTCCCCATTGTCCCCA